AATAGCCTGTAGAGTACCCAGCCCTCCCCGTGGTCCCTTACTCCAGCTTCATTTTTCCCTTCCTTCGTTCCTCCCTCGCTCAATATCTCTCTCCCAGTTAGGCCCAATTTTCCTCTCCCCCAACCTCACTCCTTTATTTCTCAAACACTGGACTTAAGTCCTTCCATCTTGAACCCGGTGCTTCAGTCATTGGTTCCACAAAACTCAGCCCACCCTACTTCATTGAAGGCCTTTAAGGGCCACCCCCTTTCCCTGTACTCCTGTGACTTCAAATCAGGCCCCATGACCCGAAAACTGGGCCTTTGCAAGTTTCCTCCCTCAAAACTCAAGCCTACCTTCCCCGCAATAATTGGAGAGAGGGAGCCTACATATCTTTCTGAAATTGAGTATCAGTGGTTTTTAAACTTGAATCTTTAACAACTAGGCATCTCATTTCCTCTTTGCTTCTCCACTCTTTCTCCAAGAAGCCCTTCATACCTATCCTTCCCTCAAATATAACCCATATTTTTGTCCCGAACTTTTCTCCAATAACTGTTCATAATTTCCTGATTCTCCATAATTTTTAACTCCAGTTGCCCTATATACATCAGGATGGCTTCCATTTACAATTTGTACCCAATTCCCTTCCTCTTTTTTTCCCTAGACCTGTTATTGCCCCCTCCAAAATGAGTTGAAACCTCATTAGTTCCCCACCCCAGACCCTTTGTCCCCAGATTTGGCCTTCTGGCTTCTCCTCTCATGAGCCTCATTGTTTGGCAAGCATATCCATTCTCTGCATATCCAACTTAATTTGTGCTAGGGTCCATCCCAAACTAGACTTGGCTCCTCCTATAAACATGGCCGCCTTTATTCCGTACTACTTTTCTTCTTAGAGGGCTCTGACTGCCACTCAGAGTTCTACATTTGGTCTTTCTCACTAAAAGGTCAGCAAGACCATCTTTTAATATTTCCAAGTGTGTTTTTAGCATTTCTTGGGTTTTCAACCTTGGCTACACATTTGAAAGATCAACCACCTTCAAAGATTCTGGGCTAATTGGCCCGGGCTGGTGCCAATTAGTATGTATTTTTAAGGCTCAAGTAGTTCTTTCTTATGTGCTTCTAGGGTTGAGAAACTGCCCCACCCGTCCTTCAGAAGGCCTCAACCCTTCCCATATATTCCTTTAGGGGTGTCAGCCCCAGGGACTGTCTCCTTCAGGGATTTCTAAGTCTTTTCTTAGGTACTGTTCAGAAATACCTAGGCTACCTGCAACAACCTCTTAATTTCTACCTTAAGTGATTCAGTTCTCAGCCATTAGCTATTTTCTTCCCTTAATTCTCAGACTGTCTACCTTCTCCATACTCCCCCCTCATTTCTCTCCTACATGCAGAAAGAAAATGAACTCCCCATATTCTGGTTTGTCCTATCTGACTCTTTATTCCAGTCTCCCAAGCCCTCTTTATCCACAATCCCTTTCTGGTATATTTTCCTTTCCTGAGACTTTTCATGTGCATCTTCCCTTTGCATTCCTTTCTCTTATTCCATTTTCTCTAACCCAGCCCCAGCCCCTTGGGAGCTGAGGAGGTGAAGGTAGATGTATACTTGTTGGTTAGATGCAAAATGTGTTACTTGTAGGCTGTGTTTGCTGAGGACAGGGCAGGTAGGAGAGGGGGCAGGATGAAGTGCACGGGTGGAGGATAGCAGAGAAACCTACAGGACAATCCACTGCAGGGGTATGTGAGATGGAGTTTTTCCCCTTGTCTTTCTGTTGGGTGCCTCCACAGTTAGGGTTAGAAGGGGGAGTGGTATCTGCAGGCACTCTCTGGAGTTCCCTGGTCCGAGCTGGTCTACTTACCAGTTCCTTTGCACTCTGGAGGAGTGAAGCCTGTGGGACCAACACAAAGCCTTCCCAGGCTGAACTTGAGAGACCTGAGTTCTAGTTTTGACTTAGCTAGTGTGCTTACATGTAAAAAGAGGGGAATGGGTTCGCTTAACTTGAAAGTTCTTTCCAGCTTCCTAAGTGGCAAAACAGGCTTGCTTGTCTCCAGGGCCCTTGCTTGGTGTGTTGGTAATTTGAGGGGCTTGGCTGTATGAAAGGCAGGTGGAGGGAGGAGCCAGCTGGCCTGCCAGGGCTTGGGCTGGAGCAAGGCCTTGGATCAGGCTCCTCCACTTTGGCCTGGGGGTGGGGTGGTGTGGTGTGTGTAGGGTGTCTGGTTTCTTTGCGTTATGGCAGTCCTGTCTCCATAGCCTGTTTTCTGGCCTCCTCTGGCCTGCCCTCTGAAAGGACTCCTGCTAGAGCCCTAACTAGGGATTCTGATAAGAGCCGGATGTTCTTCTCAGTCAGTGCTCTTGCTGTTTTGTATCCGCAGAGAAGGGAGCTGGCTGGGAGTTGAGCTCTCCCATTGGGTGGGGGATGGGATTGCCAGTTTCCCTGGCTCCAGTGGACTGACTACTCTAGAGGTGGAGACTCGGTTTCCGGGAAGAAATATTGCCCGAGGGGGGGGGGGGGCGACCCGGCCCCTTCCCCCCCAGCAGTGTGTTTTGAAAACAAGGCTCGTCCTTTCCAGGCTTGTTCTGATTGGTGCTTTTAAAATGTCAAAATTCCTGATGGTTGGGGAGAAAAGAAGACACACTGCAAACACCTTTATTATGATTTTGAACATGAGGTGCAAATCCAAGGAAATGATTGTTGCATCAAGCTTCAGAGCCTTTTTCTTCCTGGATTTGTGGAGACAGTTTCTGCTAGGACTGGCTTAGTACAGTATGACAGACAGTACAGTATGTGGAGGAGAGGAAAAGAGCTAGTCCTGGCTTGATAACGGTGTTACATTCAGTCTGTATATTGATGGGCCTTGAGGACAAGCATTTGGTTTTTCCAGGTTTTATTTTGGAGAGGTAGGCAAGGCCCCAAAGTACATCACCACGGGCATGAACATCTGCACTGCTTTTCTGGGCAGTAGGCTTTTCTGTCTCCAAAGAATTTGGTTTTGGTTATTCCCTATTTAGTGACAGTAGGGTTTCTTGGGTGTGGGGTGGTAGGGTGAGCCAGTTTTCCTATAATGTGCCTTCAAGGTCACCCCACAGTAAGAGTTAGTCTTAGTGTAGTTAGGAATCCCCCCAAATTGGAGGTATGTTTCAGAGAGCAGTGGGACTAATAATAGTAATTCCCCACTCTGCCAAGAAATCCAAATGTAGCCTTGGAGCTGCTAAGAAATACAAAAAGAAGACTGAGGGGTGGGGCAGAGGGATGTTACAACTGTGCATACCTAGAAAAAAAAGGAGGAATTAATCCCTTTTTGAAAGAGTATGCAGTGTTGATTCAAGTTAGTGCTATGATTCGGAAGGCTGTGAAGTCTAATTGAAAGCTATAGACCAGAAATGGCAGAGTAGGTAAGCAAGAATTTTGTTACTTGAAGCAAACTAAGTAGGTCGTTTCCTGTTAACAGCAGCAGAATAGAATGCTCAGTACAAAGTAAGCTGTAATAAAATTCTCCAAGTCTTTGATACTATATAAACAATGAAGTAATTCTATCCTGGGAAGGAGGCGTGGCACCGGGTGATGAGCTCACTCGACAAAGTATTTGTAGGTAATGAAAATGTTCACCTAAGGTCTTATGTTAAAGCATAGTCCCTTGGCTGTCTAACCACCTCAAGTAGCATAGGTGACAGTGCTTACCTTTGGTGGAAGATGTGCTCATGTCAGCTCAGCTGTGAATAAAATTACTCCTAAGGAAAAGATAAACCTCAGAGGAACAGATATTCTAGCTGTCACCAGAAGTGTTTCCTGTAGAAAATCATCCAAAACCCAGTTTGCTTCAATCTGTGATTCAGAGTGGTGATGTCATTTTCTTTATAATCTTGCTTAGCAAGTAGACTCCCTTTGGAATGCAGAACAGCCCCAGTGAAATGACTTGTGCCTGGGCCGTTTCTCATATGGAACAGGGGCTCCTAATTGGAAATCAGCCTGTAAAGTTACATTAGAATGAAGGTGGTCATTGCCTCCTACCTTTCTTCCTAGTTCTTTTCAGCTAAGTGATGGCAGCTGTGGATTGGTCCCTGTGCGAAGGGATTAGTCATCAGAGCCATGCCTAGTCCCAGAGCAGAAGCAGCCTGTGTAAGGGGAGGGGAGGGCACTTGAGAAAGGGTTCTGTAATGCAAGGCCCAACGTGTGAATGGGTCAGAAGAGTTTGGAAAAGGAGAGTGCATGTAGCACACTGGGACTGTGATTTTTCACTTGATACAAAAGGTCAGTAATACCAGGATACCCTGACCCTCTTCTGACAGTTAAGGGAAACTAGAAAGGGTGCAGACTTGAGCAAGTTTAGGGAGCCACTGATTCAAGTGAAACTTGATCAAAAGTGTATCAGTAATTTGCAGCTGAATGGAAGCTAGCTACAGAATTACTTTTATATTAAATCTCTTTATGCAAACCAAATAGAAAAATCAAAATTGACATCAGAGTCATTGAGAAGTGATTCTGCCTTTGAAAGATGTTTACTTTATCAAGAGACTAAAGGTGAATTCCTTTAAATTAGAAGCATGCTAGAGATTTTAAATAGGAATTGAATGTTAAAACTTTGATTTGTCATTGACATATCCAGGAATACATCTGCTACATCTATTCTATGTCTGTCTGTAGCCAGTGTATGAAATTAAAATCCACTCAGGACATTTCAGACAGAAAGCTTCACAGAACAGAACCCTGTAGAGGCATCAGGATGTGGTAGCACTCAAATGCTATGTATGTGAAGTGTGTTTCCAAGGACATGTCTGATAACAACTGAGAAACGAAAAGGCACTAGCAAATTGACTATAATCACCCACCTCTCTTCCAGTTGACTTGGATGGCAGGTGACTAAATGACACCCTCATTTCTGGTATGGTTATGTGCCATGGAGTTGGTTCTGACTTATAGTGAACCCTCTTCAGGGTTTCTGAGGCTCTAAATCTTTACGGGAGCAGAAAGCCTCATCTTTCTCCCTCAGAACAGCTGGTAGTTTCGAACTGCTGACCTTTAGGTTCGCAGCCCGATTCGTAACCACTATGCTACTGGTGATATGTTTTCTTCTCTTTCAAAAGCAGGACCAGCCTAGCTGGGTGTTTGGGTTCAGTGTGATAGATATATTTGATTCTCTTTAATTAGCCTAATCTCTGCAACCTCCGGAGTGAGCTTCTTAAATCACCTCTGTGGTGGGAGAGATTAAAACAGGCCTACTTCCCGATCTTTGGAAACGCTATATAGGGTGGCTGTGAGTCGGAACTAACTTGACAGCATTAACAACATCTCCATGGTGGAGAGACCAGGATGTGAGGAAGGACTGGAGAAAGCTGGCCATTGGAGCCACTTAGAAACAGCACTAAACTTAACTGAAGCTTAACTTGGTTTGAATCTTGTGATAGGAAGGCCTGTGTTTAGAAGCTGTTTTTTTCTCTCCCCAAGTTTACTGTTCTGAGTGAGGTTGGTGGCAGCATTATCTCGCCACAAGGCCATTCTGAACACTAAAGCCAATGTGAGAAGTTCATTCACTTTGGGGCAGTTTCATGCCCATTAGTTTCTTTCACCACCACACATGTAACTCTTACCCCTGCCCTAATCACTTCAGAAATGAAAATCAGGTTTTTTGGAAAGGAGCAACTTGCCATTTACAGTAAGTAACTAAAATCAGATCCATCATGATGGACAATGAATATAGTCATTGTTACTGACTGTCTTCTAAACCCCAGCTGTTTCTCTTAGCTTTGCCAACTGGAATTAGATCCCCAGGTTGTGGATTGGAAACATCCCTCCACCCCCACTCACAAACACACACTTGCCTTCTGGTACAGACTTTGTGGGGGAGGAGGAGGAAAGAGTTTGGGATTCTTGTACGGAGCTGAATGATTGGTTACCATGGCGTAGGCTGAAGTGGAGAGAGATCAGGAAACCAGACAAATCAATAGCTTGAAGTTTAATGCTGGGACCACAGGTTAGGCTTCAGGACTTTTTCTATGAAAAGGGGATCTAAAAAAGAAACCAAACACACCTTATTCTGATCTTTTTGAGGGTTGGCCTCATTGCTTCTGCCATTTGCAAGTGAAAATTGACTGAGAATTCAGATGGTGGTGGGTGTGCAGACAAGAGTTGGATGCGGTGGAGTGAATAATTCTTGTGCAAGAAAGGAGTCTGAAGATAGGTGAATTGACACCAGAATTGTAGAATTAATTGCAAGGGTCTTGCTGATCTGTTTGTCTTGTGAACCCAGTCAACTCTTCTGGCATATAAGGCTATATATCTCATGTGTCTAAGCCAGTGGGAACCTCACCGAACAACACAAGCCAGCTGGCTTTCTCTTGTGGCTCAGCCTCCATAGGGCTCCTGCAGGAACCTCAGCACAGACTAGAAGTGGCTACTAGGGAATAAATGAATGGGGAAGGAATTGTGGGGCCTGTGTTGGCCTTTCTTGGGGAAACTCATCTTTTTTCCTGCCGTCACACATTGGAAGGGGGGGAGTCATAATAACCATTGTCCCCTAGCATAAACTAATGCTGTCTTTGAGAAGTGTCCATAGCGGAGTCCTGGAGCCTGCCCCTTTGCTGCAGCTGTTGGTGAGGCAGAGAGTGGGAGAGCTAAGGATGCCTGAGATTTCCAGAGGTTGCCAGGGGTGGGGAGTGTGGTTATCACCCTCTGGTGTTGGTGCTTCCCTGGGCCTTCACAAGCCCTTGGGAACTCCGCTTCCCAAAGACATTTCTAGATGTGCTTTTAGCCCTGAGTTGAAATATTTGAAAGACCAGCCCTTACGAAGCTGAGCTAGAGCAGTGAGAGGCTGTGGGTGTCTGTTAGTACTGAGTGTTAAATGGGCTACCCCTTTCATTATTATGCCATTGTCATGTGACATGTGAGTTTATTTTGCATTCTGTGCAGGAATAAGAGCCAGAGTCTGGCATGCCTTGCTATAAAGGATAATGTGAAGAAAGGTGCCGCACACCATTTTACAACTAGCTTTCAGAGAAAAAGCCTTGCTTTATTGCGTTTTGCTGATGGTCTCTGTAATATAAATACTCCCTGAGTCCACCTGAGTCCTTCTTCCCTGAGGCTGGTGTTGGGGAGCTGGGACAGGCCTATTACCGAGACATGGTGCACATGCACAATTTGCCTCTTTGCCTAGGGAGTCAGTTACTTACTTAGTGGCATCTCAGTCTAAAAACCATTAAATTGGGTTCATAGAAAGCAGTAGAGCAGATGTGGACCCCTGGTGACCATTAAGGGTACGTACCTGGAGGTGTGACAGGGAGCTTAGAAAACTTTCACCTGTCATCCATCTAATTCTTGGTCTCCTTAATCAGGTCATGGAATCATTATGCTTCTTCCCAGGACCCCTCCCCATATCTGAACTGCCCATTTTGACCATATCAGTATTGCCATACTCCCATGCCCAGGCCAGATTCTAGCAAAGAAGTGCATGGAAGCCCACCGTTTGGTGGCACCCTAGGGACATTTGCAAATAACTCAACTCCCTGTACTCTGCTCTGGGAGCCACACATCTCTCGATCTCACTCCATTCTTGACCATAGAGGAGTTTGGCTAAGTGATTTTTTGCTCAGATGTGGGGATGGGCTCTCATTAAGAAGGTAACCATTAGCGTTCCTCTGGGAGATGGTCCCCTGCCCATCTGCATGTGCACCCCAGCCTAAAGTGATTGTGCAGATTGTGAGTCTACCACACAACTGTTGGGGTAAGAAAAGGTGAGGGGTACGGACAGTGCACTCCAAGGCAGGCTGGCAAGCCCAGATCTGGTTCCTCCCAGGAGACCCTGGCCCAGCACCACAAAGATGGTTTGAAGGAGTTTGACAGGTGCTCCTCTGGTCAGACATATCCACCTGGACTTCCTGTGCCTCTGCAGGGGGAGGTAGGTCTGTCCTTAAAGCAGAAGTAGTTCTGGAAGCTGATGCAGAAGAAACTAGAGCAGTGGTGTAGACTTCTTAGAGAGCCAGGAAAGGAGTTAAGGTGGGATGTCACATTAAATCTGAAACTCTTGTGCTTACTGCCTTACTTTTTCTTGTCTCTTGCAGTAGTATTTTGCCTTTGAGTAACTGTCCCCAGCTCCAGTGCTGCAGGCACATTGTTCCGGGGCCTCTGTGGTGCTCCTGATGCCCCTCACCCACTGTCGAAGATCCCCGGTGGGCGAGGGGCCAGCAGGGATCCTTCTCTCTCAGCTCTAATATATAAGGTAAGGAGGAGCCTGGGGTGGGAGGCATCAGGGAGAGCTCAAGGACAGGAGTCACTTTCTGTAGTCTCTGGGCCAGTGGCAGGGATCGGGAAGGGCTCTGTGAGCTGAGGCTGCTGCTGTGTGATTTCTGGGAGTTATGCGTGGGGGATGTCAGCACCCAGTGAGTACCCTGCCAGCTTCGCCATTCAGTGGCCAGCACTTGGGTAGTGCACAATCAGGGTCCTGAGTGGGGATGGCGTTTTTTTATGCTGCTCCTCCATTTCCCTTGAAGTGTTAGGAGAATTTCCCCCATTGTTCTTAGCCCTTGGATATTTGACTTCTGTCCCTGCCAGCCTGGTGCTGAGGGTGGGAGGTGGTATGTAGATGGAAGGTAAGGAGTTGAGGGCCTTGCATCTCAACTACTTGCTACCTGGCAGGACACAGGGCAGGGCTCAGCAGCTTTGGAACAGCTTCAGCATCTCTCCTTTTTCCTTCTCAAGAGTGGTCTGGGCTGAAGCAGCCAGTTGTTTGCTGCCTTCTAATCTTCTGTGATCAAGGACCAGAAGTTGGTTTAGCTTCTCCCTAAGACAGGGATTGAAGGGTAATGGGGCCCTTGAGCTCAGGTGAGATAACATGGACCCTGCAGTCTACCTGGAAGCAGGCATTGGTTGATTTGGGCCCCCACATATCCTCATTTTTTGTTTCCCTTGCAGAGAGGAAAGGGAAATGGCTTGGTGCTGTGGAAGAAGCATGGACTTTGGAGTAGGGAGACTTGACCTTGAACCCTAGTTCTGCTATTTCCTAGCTGTAGAGCTGTGGGTCAGCGACCTAATTTTCTGGGCCTTAGTTGTCGTTAGGTGCTGTCGAGTCAATTCTGACTCAGCGGCCCTGTGCACAACAGAAAGAAATTCTGCCCACTCCTGAGCCATTCCCACAGTCCTTATATTTGAGCCCATTGCTGATGCTATGATGTCAATCCATCTTTTTGGGGTCTTCCTCTTTTTTGCTGACGCTCCACTTTATCAAGCATGATGTCCTTCTCCAGGGACTGGCCCCTTCTGATAACATGTCCACAGTATGAGAGAGGAAGTGTCACCTTCCTTGCTTCTAAGAGCATTCTGACTGCACTTCTTCCAGCAAAGATTTGTTGGGTCGAATGGCAGTCCATGATATTGTCAGTATTCTTTTACAAGCATATGAGGCAATTGAAAAGACCATGGGTCAGTGCACCTGGGCCTTAGTCCCTCCTCTTTAAAATGGGGATATTAATGCCTACTCCGTGTGCTTGTCATGATGACTGAGGGTAATATATGGAAAGCACCTTGCACAGGCCTCGGCACCTAGTGGACACCTGGTAACTTCGTCCCTTCTAGCCACACTGGCTTTGCCACCCAGTGCTGACGTGTGTGGGCTTCATATGGTCAGCATGCAGCTCTCCATGGCCAGGGGGCGTCGGTCCCATGCTGTCTTCTTGAAATTGGGTCAAGGGGCACTCTGGTCCAGGGGGTAAACTATTAACATCACAACATCTGGCCGAGAAGGGGACACAGGGTTAGGATGCATATAGTATGGCTAGAGGAGAAGTGACCTGGTGCTCTGCCCTGCTTCCTCCTAGGACGAGAAGCTTACTGTGACCCAGGACCTCCCTGTGAACGATGGGAAACCTCACATCATCCACTTCCAATATGAGGTCACTGAGGTGAAGGTCTCTTCCTGGGATGCAGTCCTGTCCAGCAAGAGCCTGTTTGTAGAAATCCCAGATGGATTATTAGCTGATGGGAGCAAAGAAGGGTAAGTGGCGCTTTTAGAAAAGGGTAAGAGGGTCCTGTTTTAGAGAAGGGTGTGTGCTTACTGGGATCAGAGACAAGGGGGTATTTGGGCCTTCTCCCCTAGGCTTCCTATGAAGATACCATTTTGTAGCAGGTTATTTTTAGCCAGTACAACAGGCCTGCTCTAGTTACAATCAAGCAGATCATTCTCACATTAATCAAATCGCTGCCAGTTAATCACTCTTGGCTCCTTCTTCGAAACAGACATTAAAATCCCTCTTGATCTACCATACAGTGGTGCAGTTCAAAGACCAGAAGCTCAGAGATATAGTGGGTTTTCCCTGGATTGGGCAACGCCCTCCCAAGCAGCCAGGTGTGTAAAAACAGTCCTGAGGAGGGAGTTCTCTTGAGTGACGCAACCTCTTAGGAAATCTTTGTAGGCAGTGGTATGGCCAGAGTTCCTCAGGATCAGGTTATCAAAACTGAACATGGCAATCTTAGAGAACCCCTGAAGAGCTGGGTTCTCTTCCTAGGCCCTAGACTCTTATCTTGTAAATGGCATTAGTTACGTTACTTAGTGTGAACTTTAGAGGAAGAACCAGTAACCTTTCTCAGGGGTTGTGGCTGAACTCAGGGATCCTAGGATCTTGAAATTAGATTTTCTCTATGCTGTGGGTTAATGCGCTGGACTGCAAGGTTGGTGGTTCAAGCTCACCAGCCGTTCCTCGGAAACATTATACAGGGTCGCTATGAGTAGGAACCAACTCAACAGCACTTAACAGCAACAAATTTATAATACTGTCTGTGTACGTGCCATAATAAGCTGTTTTCTTTGAGTGGGGGTGGCAGATGGGAAACCTGGGGTCTGAGTCATTTTCTTTGTCTTCTATAGATTGTTGGCACTACTAGAATTTGCTGAAGAAAAGATGAAAGTGAACTACGTCTTCATCTGCTTCAGGAAGGGCCGGGAAGACAGAGGTGGGTAATCAGAGCAACCTGAGACAGTAGGGATCTAAGGAGAAGGAACAGGGGCTCCTGCACAGCAAGGGGATGCTCTGAACCTGCCTTACAAACTCTGAGACGTCATGGAGAGGGGGGTGCCTGAAGGGTTATAAAAGCTTGACTTATTCCATCGTAGTTTGTTGTTTTCTGTCATATTTGAGGTGACTGTGTATGTTAATCAGAGTTCTGTTTATACTCTTTATTTTCTGCAGCTCCACTCCTGAAGACCTTCAGCTTCTTGGGCTTTGAGATTGTACGTCCAGGCCATCCCTGTGTCCCTTCTCGGCCAGATGTGATGTTCATGGTTTACCCCCTGGACCAGAACTTGTCCGATGAGGACTAATGGTCATGGAGGATGCTTTGCCCAAGAGCCACATGGGGAAAGAGGGAAAGGTCAGGCAGCCCTGGGACTGAGGAGGGGGCTCCTTGCTGTCTAGGGAAGGACACTAAGGGGCTCAGGGTGAGGGTTGCCTATTGTGTTCTCGGAGTTCTCGTTGCAATTGTTTTCCATAAAGAACAGTATAAACATATTATTCACATGTAATCACCAATAGTAAATGAAGATGTTTATGAACTGGCATTAGAAGCTTTTTAAACTGCGCTGTGTGACGTGCTCTCTATCTAGCCCAGGGGAGGACAGTGCCTATAGAGGGAGGGCTGTCTGGACCCAGGGGCGAGACCTGGAGGGCAGCACTGCTGGGCTCAGGTGCCCCTGCTGTTGGACTTTTTTAGTTTTTAAGACTTGTGTATTTTTCTTTCCTTGCTTATCACCCCAGGGCCCCCTGGGCAGTGTCCTGGAGTTGTGTTTTGACACTCCACCTGGGCTTCTCTTTGTGCATTTGTGTCTGGCCTGGAGTAAGCAGGTCTGACCCCTCCTTCTTTACAGCTTGGTATTGTTCTGGCATTTGGTTAAGCTGGCTTAATCTGTTTAATGGTATCAGTGCATTGGAAGTGGGGGCACTGAAGTTCCCTCCCACCACCAGGGCTTTTTTGGGAGGTGCCTGGGCCTTAAAAAACACTAGCCAAATCCTGATTCTCAAATCATCGCTAGGAATTCTTGCTCCTGGCTGCAGGCCCAGACCCCAAGGTCTCCTTCCAAGGGTCACTGAGAGCAGAGGAGGAGGAATAGCAACTCAGGGCCTGGGGGTGTGGGGGGAATCAATTCTTAGGGACTAGAGGCCTCTGACTGGTTGAGTAGAGCTGTAATGTCTCCTCACCCCCTGTGACAGATTAGTGTCTGTGACCCTGTACCACAGGACCAAGGGTTGGGGCTGGGGTGTAGGGGTGGCTTGCCTTTTCCTATTTTCACTGAACAGCTTGTTCTAAGGGGTGACAAAGGGGGAGAGATCTAGTTTGGGTGAGGGGGTGGGGGGATGCCAGGGAGGCAAGTGTATTGTGTTACTGTGTCAATAAACTGATTTAAAGTTGTGGTTGGTCTGTTTATACCTGTTCCAGGACTACCTTCCCTACTATTACTGCCTTTTGAGCCCAGAACCTAAGCCAGTAGGGATGTGGAAAACAGCTGCAGTGCAATGGAGTAGCTAAACTGGCCAAGGTCTCTGGGGCTACATTACACTAAGAAATGTGAGGTTGCTAGGAGTCTGAAACACCGGCCGAGCCCCTGGAGACAGGTATGCAACTATCAGCTGCATCCAGAATGAAACGAGGTCTTAATACCATACTGTTCTTTGTTGTTGTTAAGTGCCATTGAGTCAGTCCGACTCATAGTGACGCTGTATACGGTTTCCAAGGAGTGTCTGGTAAGTTTGAGCCACCAGTCTTGCAGTTCAAACTGACCTTGTGGTCCTGGGCTTATCCTACAGGACCACACCAGGACTCCACATTTTTCCTATTAGGCTGTTGAGTTGTTTCTGACTCATAGCGACCCTGTGTAGGGTTTCCAAGGCTGTAAATCTTTATGGGAGCAGAAAGCCTCATCTTTCTCCTGTGGAACAGCTGGCAGTTTCGAACTGCTGACCCTGAGGTTCGCAGCCTGATCTTTGTTTTGTTTTTATCTTTTTAATTTCTCAAAGGCTGTGGGTTTTTTGTTTAGAGCGTTGCCTCTCTTCTCCCAAGTGAAGTGCTGGGCATGCTCTATCCCCTCCTTCAGTTATGGCTGTCTTTAGTTTTTAGCTCATTTTCATAATATTCCTGGAGCTTACTTGTGTTTCTAACCTGGGCCAAGCTTAACCTGGTCTCCACCTGGTACTAATTAAAGGAAATGAGTGCCCAAGTTATTATTAAAGCAGATCTGGGCATAGAGAAATTCAGTTGAAATCAAGACTTGAAGATATCCACCAATGCAAAACTAACCCCAATAGGCAGCCTAGAGGCAGACTCAAAACAGTACTACAGTGAAATCCTGACCTCAGAGATCCACATGAATACTGCCAATGTCCAATCACTACATGTAGGCAGTTTAGGATTCAGATGTTACCTTAAATTCAGAGTCGTTACTCTACAATTCAGACAAACCAGACAAAACAGCCTTTTCCAGTTAGCTGAATGGATGGGAAACATGCCTGAGCTTCTGCTGCCACCTGCTGATGGTTCCTCGTCAATACACCCAGAGCTAAAATCAGTTATGTTGTGCGGTGACTCTATGTGTGTCAGAGTAGAGCAGCTCCCTAGGAATTGCAAAGTGATTTTTTTTTTTCCCCCAGAAGTAGACCACAAGGCTTTTTTGTCATGGCACGTATGGGTGGATTCAAACCTTAAACCTTTTTGTTAGCAGTCAAGCATGCTAATAATTTGCACCATCCAAGAACTCCTACAGCCAGAGTTGTACAGTGCTGTTGAGTCATTTTTGACTTACCGTAACTATATATATAGCGGGGTTCCTGAGGAGCAGCTGATGGGTTTTAACAGCAGATCTTGCATTTTAGCAGTACAGTGCTTGGTCTAGTACCACATTAGAAGGGTTGAGTTGGAAAAACTTAGGCACTCAGGCAAGATTTCCCTTTTAAAAAAAGAAAAACTTCATACAGAAAACCACTGACAGATAAATTCCAGATCTGGCAGCTAATCTTAGGTCAGCAGTTAGAAACTACCAGCCATTCCACAGGAGAAAGATGAGACTTTCTGCTCCCGTCATGATTTACAGCCTTGGTACCAACTCCACAGCCACACACCACTACACAACAAATTAAAGTAACATAGAAGGGTGGAGTATTGGGAAGGGGATGTGAAAGGCAAACTGGTCTAAATTTAAGAACAGGGACATTAAAAACTTTATTCAATAAATACAACAAATAATTAAAAAATATATTTCAATTCCAAAGCCAATTATGAAAAGGAAGTAGAGGGGAAAAAAGGGGGTGAGGGGAGGAGGAAAATAGAAGAAAAGGAGAAAAAGAGGCAAACAGTGGTTTGGCTGGGTTATTCCAGAATGTTACCACCCTTTGAAATTCTGTGACCCAGGAAACCCATAGCCCTTATTCTAGTGGGTAATCAATCACAGGAGCTCATCATCCAGGAACAATTGGCATTGGTAGGTTGGATAGTTTCCCACTCATTCCTTCAAACCATCCATCCTAACTCCCAGGCGAATTAAAAAAGTGCAAACTCTTCAGCAGAGAGCTCCAAGCTCCACTGTTTAAAAGGTGAATGTCCCAAACCAGGGCCTCCAGGAGGCAGGTCTTGAGTACCTGGGGGTCCAAAGCCACTGTGGTGATTGGGATTTAAAAGGTGACCAGAGGAGTGGCCAGGTCAGCAGACAATGCTCAGCAGGAAAAGGCTGCAGGGTAAGTGGTCTGGACACAGGGTTCAAACAGCTTGCCTTCAGCCAGGGGAGGTGAAGCTGAAAACACACATGGAACAGGACACTAAGGAAGGTCAGGAAAGCCAAGGGAGAAGGGAAGGGTTTTTTTTGGGGGGGGGGGGGCAGGTAGCGGAGGCAGCTCAGCAGCAAACTCCAGGAGAAATAACCAGCAGCCCTCACAGATTTGTGATTGTCTCTTAAAAAGATTTATTTTCTCTTCTTGCCTGAATGTACAAAGGCAAAAAGAGTACAGTTTGTATATATATATATTTATATATATATATATATAAAAAAACAAGGAACTTGGTAATGTACACTTTACAGAAGGGAAGAATCAGGAAGACTGAAATTAAATCCAACAGAGTAACGCCAATGGAACAAAAGCTATGAACAGCAACACTGCCCCTCCAGTCCGGCCTCCAGCTCGCCCCATCCTGTTTCCCAATTGGGGGGCTGAGCACCAAGGCAAGCGGGTGGGCTGGGGCAAGAGGGGCTTGCTCCTGGGAGAGGCCCATGACAGAGGATCATTGGAAAGCTTCCTGGGATGCCCTAGTAATAAAGCAAATGACAAAGGCCAACCATTATGGGGCCAACTAGCTGCTCAGTTGAATCTTGGGGGCATCAGAGTTGACACTGGGGTGGAGAATAGGGATAGTGATATGGGGGCCTCACAGCCTGTATACAGTAATCCTCTAGCCCTTCTACAGTCTGTACCCCAACTCTATGCCAAGTCCTCCCACTCCCACCTTGGAGCTAAGAGTCACCATTTCATTTCATAAGGTGCCCTCTTCCCCTTCTGTGTGTGGTCCTTTGACCTTGGGATGTCTGGAGAGGGTGGGGTAAAAAGGAAACGTCACACATGTACAAGGCAGGGAAGGATGGGAGCTGGCATACCTTGAAGAGGAAGAAGAGAATCCCAGAGCTCCCCCTCCTAGGGAAGAGGCTCTATCCATGAGGCCTGGGCAGAGGTGGCCTTGGTTTGGGCTTTCAGCAGCAAACTCTTCCAGCCCTGGCTCCTGGGGGGTACCCCTGTAGGGGTCCTTGCCTCATCCTCCTGGCTAGAATAATGGTTGTGTATGTATGTGCCCCCTCATTGAAGGTAGGTAGGTAGCAAACCTCCACTTAGTACTTGTCAAGGATCTGCACTGTCTCTAGCTGCTGCTTCATTTTCTATCAGGGAGGGGAGACAACCTGGCACAGATGAGGGACCAAGAAAAGGCAGTGCCAGTCTGCCACTGTTGCTTTCACTTGCTCTTCCGAGCAGCTCTAACTTCAAGGTATAATTTCAAAGAGCCAAATATTTTGTAAGGGAAAGAAAAAGAAAAAGCTGTTCCCTTCTGTATAACCCAATGCTGCCCTGCTAACACAGAAACTTCCTCCTCTCTGTTAGAACGAAGTGGAAAAGGCAGGAATGGGAAAGAAAATTACTCCAAACAGTTTCTTTACAATATGTACAGAATACGCTGTAGGCTAGTGCCACAGATACAAAACACACAACAATATTTAAAAACAGAGGAACAGAGATGGGCCCCGGGCTCTCCCTACTGGAGCCTGGGAGGACAGAATCAGGCTGAAATTCAGGGTCACCTTGGAGGTAGTGGCTCAGGGTAGGTGTCCACACCAGCTACTTCCATGGATAAAAGGGAAGTGACTGTTTCTAGCACTGCCTGCTGGGGCAGCAAGAGGCAGAAGGAATGATGGGTGAGAGGGAGGCTGTTCAGGGCTGCCAAGAAGTGGAAAACAATGGGGTTTCTTTGGGGGAGGAGGTTCAACTGGAACAAAAACAAGGACATGAAAACTAGAGGAAAGGTATG